AGCTGCCGTTGATGGGGGCGAGAAGAGCTCAGATTGTTTACTATCTTTGTCGAAACGGGCAGCTTGAGCATCCTCACTTCATGGAGCTCTCTCAGCTCCCTAATCAGCAACTTAGGCTCAAAGGTGCTTCAACTTTCTGTGATTAAAGTAATTTTCACTTATTTTGTTTACATGACCCGTCAGTAAAAAAACCCAGGTTAATAAACTCGTGTTAATTGGTACTTAGACAAAATTTAGACCATATATTAACTTTCCCCCCCTCACGACAAATGTAGTACATTACATTTTTCTTGAATTATTTTCAGATGTGATGGAGAGGCTGACGGTTCTCAGAGGCAAGGGAATGCCTTCTCTTTACTCTTGGTCTTGCAAAAGGTAAATCTAAATTTGCATTAAAAACTGCGTCGACGCATAATAGTATTTTTACAAAAAAGCCATTTTTTTCTCACTTGATTTTTTGTTTCGAAATTCGAAGGAGCTACAAGAATGGGTACGTGTGGAACGACTTGTCGGAGAATGACGTCATCTACCCGGCTGACGGCGCCGAGTACGTCCTCAAGGGCTCCGAAATCGTCCCCGGCTGTTCAGGTAGCCTCAATGTTTTTTGCATTTTCATAAATTCTCCCAGAATATATATCTTGTTTGCAATTTGCAATTCCATTCTGACTTTTCTGCAAAAATGCTAGAACAATACCAACAGCTCCGGCTTCGCAACAACAGGCCGACGAAAACGCTTCCTACCCGCATCCAAATAGAACCCGAACCCGAAGACTACAGCGAAGAAACAGAAGAAGAAGAAGAAGAAGAAGAGCCAGAAGCAGAGTATAGAAAATCCCGCAACCTCACCGAGAAAAACGACACCCACTCACGCACCCGCTGCTCGCGTGGGGTCTCCACTGAACAGCTCACCCAGAGAAAACCCGGTGGGCCTCACCAGCAAACCGAAATCGCACTCGACGACGGCTCACCCCCTTCGTCGTCGTCCTCCGACCGGGCGGTTGAACCGAGCGGTCTGACGAAAAACTCTGTGTTTTTCAATTTAATCGCGTGTGGGTCCGGGGTTGGTGTAAAGGGGAGAAAGAGCGGGGGGAATCTGCATAAAGGGGTTGTGACTAGCAGAGCGGCGAGGGCGAGTAGGGTGGAAGACGTGGAGGAGGTGAGATTTATGTCTGAGAACCCGAGATTGGGAGCCGACGCTGAAGAAATCTTCTTCATACAGCGAGGAGAGGTAATTTCCGCCGCGTAAATTTTAAATTGTTCTGTGGTTAGATGAAAACATGGCACTTTTTTGTTTTTCATATCTCTTTTTCAATGGGCCAAAGTTTTACGTTTGGACTACTTTTGAGGAAGTAAATTAGTTTCTCAAGCGTTACAAGTGGGTGACTGGTTTCGTAAGCATTGTTGAGCTCATGTTACTTGCCAACGTATAAATTTGTTTTTTTTATGTCATACAATTATATTTTAAACTTTTACGTACACACATTTAGTATCAGAGTAACGGAGATTCAAATTTCAGTGATTTGTGAGTTGCTTGTAATAAATTTTGAAATTTTGAGGTATTGGAAGGAATCTTTTTAGGGGTTTTTGCTTTTAGACCCATTTGTTTACTCTCATTTATCTTTAAACTCAAGTACTATTATTTCTATTTTTAAGTCTAATTCATCTTTTGTATTTATCTTTAAACCCAATCTCCAAAATATAAAATCAAGTGGTGAAAATGTAGTATTTTGAAGATTGGGTTTAAAAATAAATACAAAAGGTGAATTGGGCTTAAAGATACAAATAATAGTACTTGGATTTAAAGATAAATGAGAGTAAACAAATGGGTCTAAAAGCAAAAACCCCTTCTTTTTAACATTTCTAAGTACGGAGCTCCACTAATCAAACTAGCTATGATGTATTCACCCGTCAACGAATGGAATCATTAACAAATCCGATTAATTTTGTTGGTTTGTTGTGGGCAGGAGCTCAAAGCTGGGGATCGGCGAAGAATGCTTGGCGGTCGCAGAGGATGGAGGAGGAGGAGGAGGAGGCGTGAAAGGTAAATGCATCCCCGGAAGGAAAAAGTCCTCCAAACTACAGGACCAGCAGCGGCAGTCCAATAAATGAGCTGTGAAATTATTACCGGAATTGCCCCCTAAAAGCTGCTGGGCTCGTTAATGTGTTGGGTTGGTGGTTGGCCTGTAATTAGCGGCTACTCTGCAGGGTTAATTGTCGGGGTGTTGACTTCTGTTCTGAGAGGTGACAGCTGTCGTCTGGGCTTTTTAGGGAAGTAGAAAGCAAACAAGAGTATCTATAAATGCTGGGGTGCTACTGCTTATTAGATATTTTCTATATTCCGTTCTGTTGTCAAATTTATCAGGATCGTTTTACTTCTCGGTATCCTAACTCGCTCCGACTGAAATTACGCGTGTAAACCTTGAGCAAATCTTGATATCTTTTGGAAAATGATAGGGGCACATTACCGGCCACAATCTCAACCACATTCCCTCTCTCATTTGCTACAGTGCATCGGGTCCCACATGGGATTTTAAAATTTTAAAATCCCATGTGGGGTCCGGTGCACTGTAGCGAATGAGAGAGGGAGTGTGGTTGGGGTTGTGGTTGTTGGTGTGCCCCTAGTGCCACTCATATCTTTTTCATGTAATCTCAGCCGCTAATCTCGGGTCAGGATTATCTCATGTGGACAGTGTAGCGATAGTATTATGCAGGATGTTGAAATATAAACAATCCAATTTATTAGTTGCTCATCAAAACTAGAAATATACCCTGAGGTCATTGCATATGATATACAAGTGCAACCATCAGAACTAGATATATACCATCACAAAAATTAAAAATAAGCACGTAACCTGAATCATTGCATATGATATACAAGTGCAACCATCAAACCTTCTCTCTATCTGATTTCTAGTTACAATATAGATCTTTCTATATGATGTTTTCGGCAGTTGCCAAAAGCCCAGATTTGGTGCCAACGACTTAATTTAAGACCTATAAAACAAGTTATGCTTACATTTTCTCTCTTTATAAGATCTGGCGTAGCTCGGCCCGTAGTCATGCGTGTAAACAGGCTGGACAGTCCTACTTCGAGCCCACTATTGATAGAACCATGGACGACAACTGACACTGTCTAAGGCCCACACGAGAAGGGCCTGCAAAAGTTTAGAAAAGACCACTGAGGCACAATTTTCAAACGCCAACCAAGATGTTCGGCTTGGGCTCTATAATAGCTCAAAACAGATAAAGGCCGGCCCGTAACTAATGCGTAGTGGTGGTGATCATATCCATATGCGTGTCCGATGTAATACCTGTAACCATATATCTAATGATACGGATATAATTACTCAAATCTATAGCCGATAAGATATTATTACGAATATAGTTTTGTAGTGAAATATTAGAATTCGTATGCGAATATATGTTGATCATATAGCTACAATTGTCTTAATCTTTATATTAATGAATTTGGGACTAATTATGATGATCAAGAGTTCCAATCCTAGCTTTTCAGCATTACAAACATATTAATAAACTCTCTTGTACCATATAAACTTATTTTTTTCGATATTATTTTTATTTTCTCATATCCGTTTTATATCTGCATGTATATCTGCATAAACATCTGCTGGATATCCATATTTGTATCTGATTTTTGCGGATATGGGTATGAATTTTCCTTATCGAGTATATCCATATCTGTATTAGTGTTCGTGAATGAAAAGTGGATATAAATATGGTAAGTATCATATCTGAGCTGTATCCAAACCGTTTCCATCCCTATTGGTAGGGCATATATCTGTTGAGCATAATATGTTCTTTATAAATAATTTAATTGATTTTCATTTCGTTTGTTTTTTATATCTCATCATATGGATCTGAGGACGGAAGGAGATGAAGAAACAAGCGATATATACACAGTAAGAATCAGATTCCTTCATTATCATGAAAACCTACACTTCTAACACCTTTGTTTCTAGACTCGTGCAACATGTCTTATTCTCAACCCTTAGGTTGGCATCCTTGTAAAATTGGGTCAAGACTGAACCTGACCCAATTTTAAGTGGTTTCTTGTTTGGCAAATGAAGGGACTAGAACTAGCATAATTTTTTATAGCCCAAAATTGATCATTAAACCTGTTTTCTTTTGGACCAAGGGGGCTGGTCCGAAAGAAAACTAGATCAGAACTAGTCCTGAACCAGTTTTGTATAGTTTGTCAAACGCATCTTTAAGCTTGGATTAGATACATATATAGCTAAACCTCAAGAAATTCTACTCTACAGCCTTGATTTCACTTAGTTTGAATATAATACAAAAATCTTTTGATGATAAGAGTCGACCTCCTCATTATAATATAACTATGACATTTATCAAACCGCAAAAAATTACAAAGAACGGAAAATAATATCCCAACAGTGGCAAGAATGAGGAATTTCTAAAAGAAAAAAATATAGGCATAGTAGGTGATTTCTACACAAATGCACAACTTGAGAATGAGAGGGAGTTTTGCACTTGGAGGGTGGACGCATAATTGACAAAGTACCGGAGGCGACACTAAAATACACGTGAATATGTTTGTTTATACACGATTATTGAAGGTCTTGCTAGCGTAATCGTGCAGTTAAACTAGTTTCAACAGTTATCCAAAACAAGAAAAGAGAATCTTGCGCCCTATTGTGCATGGCACCCCAAGCTGGTTTCAGTACAAGTACGGTGAACTCTACGCAGCATGAATACCTTGGTATATATTTTCCCTACCAAAATTTTCTTCATGCATGTGCTTTTGTAATCAAAACTTCATCTTGAAGGGTGCATGATGATGGACAGCGAAATCTTGCATCATGTATGGGTAGTCGACCAACATGGAATGACAAACTGTGTCAAATTTATTTAGTGGTTTTTATTTCTAGCCCAATTATTTACTCTACTTTGTCTATAAACCTAATGACTATTGCTTGTATCTTTAAATCCAATTATATATATTTTTGTATTTAAACCTAACTTTCAAAATACAATAGGTAGAGCACTTGTATTTATACACAAACATAGTAAAACCCCGAAACACCCCTTTCAATACCCCCACTTAAACTTGTACTTCTCTCTCCTCTTCTTCCCCCTTCTCATGTCTGAGCCCTAACCGAAAAACCCCTTCTTCTCCGTCTTCTCTCTTAGCCCTGACCGAGAAACATAATCTCATAACAGTTGGGTTTATAGATAACGTTGAGTTTAAAGGCCGATTCTCCGCTTCTTCCCCGTTCTCATTTCTCAACAATCTCTCTTCTTTGTCTCCGTCTCCGTCTCCATCGTCGTCTCGTCGCTGAGCCCTAACCAAGGGGAAAATCTTCATTGTGACCTAACTACGTCGTCGTCTCGTCGCTGAGCCCTAACTGAGGGGAAATCCACATTGTGGTCGATTCCCTGTCTCGTCGCTGAGCCCTAACAGAGGGGAAATCCACATTGTGGCCGCACTCCGAACTCTGCCTCTGTCTCGTCGCCTGCCTACCGCCACCTCCTCTGGTGCCTCTCCTGACCATCACTCGTCGTCTTCTCCAGTGCCTCTTCTGCCAGTAGAGGTAGTATTATTATGTTAATTTACACATTGCCCCTTGAAAGTTTGGTGGTTATTGCAGTTTGGTTCAATTCCTCATAACCTTGTTTATTCTTGATTTGGAATGTTGGTGTATTACATGCATTTAATAATTTACTTATTTTGAACGGGATGCTGTTAATGGATTAATATAGCATGAAGAGGCCCTTTCCATGTGTAAATCATCACTTAGATTCAATAATTTAAAAATTGAGGTTGTATTTGAAATTTGCGTAAAAGTATGTAATATCACATTTCTTCTCACAGTTGTTGGAACTCTATATTTAACTTCACAACGCAGTTGTTGGTTAGATAGTTTTGTAAATGTTTGAGAATTGGGTTCAAAACCAGTACTATAGGTATTGGTACCATTTAGAGAATATACTGTAAAACTAGGAGATTGAAAACTTGTGAGACTGGACTGATTGAGTAGTTGTCAATGAATGATTACAAGTTGTAGCAATGTCCAATGGACATTAAGACGTTCTTTTGCAGTAAACCATGTTCAGTATGCAATATAGATAGGAAATTTGATCTAATTTAAGGATGCATTGTTAGAAAGCATTACAAGACTCTTTCATTAACCTCACTTTATACAAATTTGTGAGAGACATCATCCATGTTCTTAGAGAGTGCAATATCTCGTATTTAAAATGCTTCCTAATAGGATTGTTAAGACACTTCACGATAGGATTGTTTGTATCTTCATTCATGGTCTTTCTTCCAAGTTTGAGTTGAAAGTTTAAAGTAGGATTTCCTATTCTCCTCCATGCTTGCCAACATTGTGATGCTGACCCTTCCTACACATGCATGTGTTTGATCTTAATGTTTTTGTTGGCCTTCTTGTTTTGATGATGATTTAACAAACAATTTACATCTAATATTATTTATCTAGTGTTTGTGTTTTGTTATTTATTGTAGACAAATAATAAGTTAGAGGATGGATGGATTGCGTCATAACGATCATATCAAATGGAGGTTGACGGAAAAGTGGTTGAAGCATTGCTATTCAAAGTTGAAGATTCAAGTTCAAGCTTCATCCATGTGTACCAAGTCAAGCTTATTGAAGATAAAGATCAAGCTTGGGTAACATTAGTTTAGGTTTATATTATGTGTGTTAGTATTTTAAGCTTAATCATATATACACACACATTATATTGGTTTCCTTGTATATATATAGTTATATATATATACAATACAAGCTTTGTTTATATATATATATATATATATATATATATATATATATATACAATTTAGTTTTGGTATATATATATAAGTATATGTATACATACATGTTTTTGTTTTCAAGTTTATATAAATATGAAATTACATCTTTCATATTTATTGTTTTGGTTTTCAAGTTTAAATATAAAACAATTGAATATAATTAGAAAGTATATTTTTATTTCATGTTTATATGCTTACATATGATTTCATCAATATCAATTTTATTTAGTTCAATGAAATCATGTTTATTGTTTTGAAAGTTTGCAAAACAAGTATTTTTGTGAAAATATTGTTTTCTTGGTTTATAGACTTAACAATAATCATATACATCTTTTATTAAGTCTATAAAATCATTTTGTAATATTTCAAAACATGGTTAAGTTAAAATGTTAAAACTCATGTGTTCACATTTTCATGTTTTGGACTATTTTATAAAATAATAATATTTCTCATTTGGGAGGTCCCTTTTAAAAACCAGTTTTTGTAACATGTTTATTATCATGTTTACAATCATTTTTCAAAGTTTTATATTTTTTGGAATTTATTTGATATTTTTAA